GCCCCGGGAGCGGTCGCTGCCCTCGCAGCTGCGGGGCGTGGAGCTTCTCGTGGTCGGGGAGCGCGTCCCGTGGCTGCACGACGGGGCGGGGCTTCGCTGGAGGAAGAGGTAACCTGGTTGAATCCTAATCGTAGAGGAACCCGGGTGGAAATGACACGGTTCGTTAATCGCTGGCAGGTGCCTGTTGTGTCACACAAACCGCCTGCGTGAGCAGCCTGACTTTGGCCAAAGAGCAGGCTCTAAATCTGCATCCCCCTCGTGACTTGGAATTAAGCAAAACATCAACAAGGCTTCCCTTGAAATCTTCATGAGGAGCGTGTCGTTTCTGCGCTGAACTCCCCCAGAGTTTCATTGGCAGTAGCACAGATGTTCACATTAATGCTCCACCTGACATCCCCTGGACCTCAGGATGCCTTTTGCCACTCCCCTAGTTCTAAAGCTCTCACGCAGGCAGGTGGCTGGAGCGCTGGGTCACAGACTGTCTTGTTTCCAAGGGAACTACAAGGAGCCAGAGCGACTTCAATCTAATCCAGCCAGACTTGTTCTCCTACAGAAAATCTAGGGACTTTCTGAATCTTGGTAATTTAATATTACTTAAGCACAGAAAACAGAACTGGAATGATTATCTTTGTGATCCTCAGAGAAAACTAAACCAAACCAAACCCCAACAGCCAAACCAAAACCCCCTCCCCCTCAAGAAAAACCCAACAAAACCAACAACCAACCAAAACCAGACACCCCAACCCCATCCCCCCCCCAAAAAAAAAACCCTGAAAAAACCCCTTGCATTTCATAATCCCACTTGTCAGGTAAACACACACTGTTCTCCTACAGGCACTGCCCCAAAGAACACACCTCAAAAAAAAGCATCCCTAACCCTATACAGGCTCAGTATTATTCACAATTACGATCTGTATCCTTTCCCTTCTTGCATACCTTGTTGTTTATAAAAAACCATAAACTTTATATAAAAAAAATCATCCAGAGGAAAGCAAACATTTTTTTTGTTTCATTTTTAATTTGGCTTCACGCTGAAAATTCAATTTACAAGCTTTTCATAAGGAAAATGTCCAGTTGGACAGAATGAGCCATGATTGCATACGGCACATCAACACTTGTCGTGTATCATTTAATTCCCTTTCAGGGTACCATCATACAACTTACATAGCATAGTCTGAGCACCCACATCATTTGGCTCAGTTCATCACACGCTAGAGTCCACTTCAACCCATCAGACAACTAACAAGAGAAGAATGCTCAAATTGAGGTATTTCCTTTAAGAGTTGACTGATCACTGGTATTCGGAGGTAATGTTAAATTATACTGGTTTAAACATTGAAAAATGTACAAAAACAAGTTTGTTTTTAAAAAATATTATCCTTAGTCTTCCATGCATGTTAATAAAAAATATAAAAATCAAATTTGTAGCACTGAAGCTGTACTTTTTGTTCTGCAAAAGTATTTCCACAATTGGAACCACAATCTCCAGTCATCTTTAGTACGCTAGTTGTTTTCATGTTTCTGTTACGAAGTATAGTCAGTTCAGTGCAAAGGTAATAGTCTATGTACACATACCACAGGAGCCACAGGAGGGAGATTTACAGCAGAAAATATGCATTCAGGTTATTACTATCCAGTAGCACTATATATTTTTACAGATTTACACTGCATTTCCAAGGGCTATTATAAGAAAAAGCTTGCAGCCAATATGCGTCTTTAAACACACCAGGTCTGCTTGCGAAGCCTTGAAATCAACAGAAGTTGGACCACTAAGGGAACAAGCACATAATACCTCACAAGTGAGTTCCTACAAAACAGCTTCCTGCTCCGTCAGCACAGGTTTTCAACTACATCCTCTTAATGGCAGTGCCTAACTTGGGATTCAGTAGCCATATGAGAAAATTCCAAAATTTCATCATTCAAAAGCTCAACTTTTTTTCTTATGCAGTTAAATTCTAAAGTGTTTCCAAAAAACATAGCAATATTTTTTTTCCAAAATATATAAATGATATCCTTTAACAATAATTCAAGAGATGAAACAATTATTCTTTTTCTGAATTACTTCTCAGCTTGTTGGTAACTCAGTTTTATTCTTCTGAAAAGCTGAACTAGTACCTGTGATGAAATTAGAAATATCTTGCACAGCCAGAGAGATGCTGGGAATTACAAAAAGGTTTAGAAAGTGGTCCCATTGAACAGATGCCAAATATTTTCAGCCACAACACTGAAGTTGTATAGCACATCAAGGTTAGCAGATGCTTAGTCTTGGTCCTCCTCCAGGAAACAAAATCTATCACTTCTAAAGAAATTTACTTCTATTTCTAATGTTACTGATTTACATGGAGCTCTTAATACCCTTGGAGCAATTTGAGAAAGCAATATAAGCAAATCACCAAACACAAACAACCATAGAGACAAGCAGCTTCAATGGTTTTTCTTTTTGTCTAAGTATCTACAATTGCCAAGCAGTGATGTTTAACTTAAGAAATTCTAATCCACATATTTAAAAATACAATTTCATTTTTAGAAGTTTACTTAAAAACTGCTTTTGTAGTCTGCGAAGTACAGCACTGGGTTGCCTAACCCCCCCTTCTTAAATATAAGAAATATTTTGCTTGAACTTCATTATAAATGAAAACATTGGACAAAAATATATACTTAGGGCATACAAGGTCTTTACAAGTTTATTTCTTTACCATTTAAAGTACAAAATTGTTTTTATGCTGGATAGTGAATAAAAAGACATGTATTTGGGTTTTCCCCATATACATTCATTGACTTAGAAATAACCCATCGTCAGATGAATTTTGTTTCCAGTACCATGGTAGGATGAAAAGTGTCTGAGCTTCGGCTTTCTTCAGTATCCATGAGGAGACTTTATTTGCTACCCCATTTATAGATGCTGCATTTGGAACTTGGAAATAAACAGGCACACACTGAAAGTGTCAGAGAGTCAAAAGCCTGTCCAATTGAAGGTTTCATTGTACTACATTTCTAAATATAAATTTCTTATTGTTCCTCGGAACAAGGAGAATCTCATAAGCTCTTTTCAGCCCTGTTGTCACCTGGACACACCTGCAGCACTTAAAGTGTAGGAAAAGAAAAAGCAATCCTTTACCTGGCAGCAGGCACAAGCTGAAGCAGTACATGGGCCCTTAGTTTTGGGTGGCATTACCAGAACATGACTTATACTCACCTGCTGTTTACAGCTCAAGAAGAGTCCATAAATGTCACTTAAGAGGCAGTGAGGTCTTTCTCAGGCTGCAACACACCTACAATGAACAGACAGACCAAGCAAGAGCTAGGGATACAGAAAATTGAATTCACCAGCCCAAGAGGCAGAACAGATCGCTCTTTACGGTGGGAAAAGGAGAACTGCAGAGTGAAAGCTTTGCTGCACGCTGGCCTTGATGGGCTTTTCTCATTTTTCTGCAGCCGACTCTTTGGCTAAGAACTGGCACTCTCAAGTAACACCCTACTCATAATAATAATAATAATACAGAATATTACAAAAGTAGTCATGACTTTTCTCTTGCTTCCATTATTTTATATCCAAGTGAAAAAAACCTGCAACTTAACACTGTATCAACAACTTATCGTACAGCACCTTTTGTGAGATCCCTCAAACGAGCAGTGATGTTCACATAGCTCTGTGCAATTCAGCTCAGAATAAAGCGGCATAATAACTACATTAGTAAAAAAACCCCAACAAGTAAGTTATTCACAGGAATACTCTGCTCTGCCACTTTGCTAAAGAAAATGGAACAAGCAGCCATTTTCATCGTACAACTAGCAAAATTATTTTGCCTAACGAACTTGCAAGACAGTCTCAGCAGAGCGTCAACTGCTGCAAAAAGGTCTCAGCACATTTCACAGAAACATAAACCATGCATTTCATAAGCCTCTTAAATCCTCTGCTCTCTTTATCACCCACTTCAGTTTAATCCCATTACACATGATGAAGCACACCGTACCATCTGGGGAAAAAGAAGCTGTTTTTCTACAAAACAAATTACCCCTCTGCTTGTAGAAGTCAAATTATGATCTTGAAATAAACCTAAAACGTTTCCTAGGGAAAG